AGGAATGCAGTTGTAAATTGAATTGCCAACTTACCAGCTGAGTGGTAAGTTGTCTTTGGCACAGGATGCCACAGTTTGATTCCTGGCTGGATTTTTACTCCTGTGACATGAATATTAAATAAGGAGAGCCTAGCTATGCCTGTTAAAATTGGCTGTGTAGCACGTACCTACTTCTAGATATATTACATATAAAATAAATAATATTTCCAGAAGTTTCAGAAGATGAATCTCAGCACTTTCTGGAAATTGGAGTCCTTTACAGTGTCACATTGAATTTATCAAAAGTGCCAAGACACTTCCAAAAACTTGATTGGTTAAAAAATACTGGGCCTTAAACACATTCAGTGCTCAGGTTTAAGTATTGTGCAGAGAGAGCATTGGGTAGATGGGTTATGAGGGTGGAAGTGCCACACTGTAGGAAAGGTGGGAAAAATCAATGGGGGAGGTTGTTCTTATTTTAAGTTATAGTCTGCTGTTGCCCAAAGATAGCCAAGGCTGTCAGTTCTGTTTTCTTGGATGAAATGAGAAGGCTTTTTGTTAGACTGTGAACGTTTTTGAATTTTGAAGACGACCTTGAAATGTTAAGTCTGGCTCTTTGTCAGCGAGTGCTGTGGCTTGAGGTTAGAACTATGGGACTTGACAGATTTTAACTTGCAGGCTCTGCTGCAGGATGCTGCAAATGAAGAAATAAAGATGAAAAACAACACCCTAAAGATCCAGCTAAAATTAATGGAAATGGTAGAAATGAAGATAATTGCCTAGATGTAGGTAGCTGGTCTATGTCAAGTTGCAGCAGAGAATAGTGTGTTCCAGCTTGCAGCCCAGAGGTGGAGGAGAGAGCTCGCGGGAAGGGAGGCCTCTGGCATAAGCAGTGAAAGATTAAAGAGGATGAAAAAGATGAAGTATTATCAGGTGCAGTCATTCTACATATCTGCAGCATGGGTGTCAAGCACAGCCTGCTAACCTGTTGAAAAAGTGGTATCTACGTAATGCTGCAGACATTCTCTTATAACTGCTGTTTGGTCTAGGCATGCTTGATACCAAATAGGAAGGTGCAAATAAACCCCCAAATTTTCTTAACATTGTGTGTGGAAATCGCAGGATGTTATGGAAAGTATGGGATATGTTCTGTGACATGGCTGCAAAGGATGCTGTGAAGAGACAAACCAGATCTCCTAAGCATTTGAGCTTGGAACTCATCTCTCGTGAGTTACCAATGAGGAGCCCCAGAACAGAACACTGAGCCTTATATAAGGGGCAAAATTTGAAACGCAGACAATCTTTTTGCATTACTCACTAATATACCTAAAGATAAAGGGGTTGAGATATATATGTAGGCATGTAGGAAAGAGGTGAAACTGATGAAGCTAATGGTAACCTGATGTTTTCTCTGTCTTCTCCAACGCTTGACAACAGAGATCCAGATATATCATGTGAAGATGGGTGATAGCTTGCTGCAACAAAATGCTAAGCAATTTGAAGAATGCTGCAGCATTTTGTCAAATTTTAAGGGCATGTCCAGTTAACTCAGTGCGAGTCAAATAAATACGTAAAGCATTTGGACTGATTTGGGTAAAATTGTCTTAATAGATTAGGAGATTAAAAATCAAATTATTCTGCACCTGTATAAAAGGGGAAGTAAAAGAAAGGAAAGTGTTACTAAAAGAGTCGTATACTTAATTTATAGGATTGCAGACTTGACAGTTTGTCTCTTTTGTCAGTAGGCATAAATATGTATGGTGAATGAATTACTTACAAAAAGATTTTTATGTTGTTAGGAAACTTTTGGTTTTTTGTCTCTTTCCCGTCCTCTTTCAGTGGGAGGGGAGGGGAAGGGAAGGAGGCAAGGGAAAGCTAGGAGCAAGTTGACCTGTGCCTGTGTTGTCAGTTTTCAACGTGATTGAAACACAAGTTGCAACAAGGCCAGTGTTTGCATCCCAAGGTTTTAAAATGCTGGTCTTGCATGTAAATCTTAATACTGCTATCTCATCATCCCATATGCTCTCTCTCCTGGTTTGCATGGGATGAATGTAATCTTAGGATTATTAGCACTCCTCACCCAGGACTTCAGGGAGATTGCAGTACATATGTAAAAAGAGAAAGCAGAAAAACATACTTTCAGGTTTAACCTTGAGTTTCTAATCTCTTAAATATTTCTTGGAATTACAAGGTGATGTCAATATTGGAAATCGTAATAGGCAGGGATACTTAGCACCTGCAAACTTCAGGCTTCATTTTGCGATATATTTCACTACAGTGTGAGTAATAAGACCTGATTATAAAGACAATAATTTCCTTTTCATTTAACTTCTTTTTCTCCCCCCACCCCTTTTGGACCTCAATCAAACAAGTGATGATGCCGTAATCAGTTTGTGGCTTTGGTTTGATTGCCTCATCAAAGTGTTTCTGTGCTCCAGTGCTGTGTGCTGTAGGAAAGCCTTCTGCTACTTTGTAAAAACATTTTTGCTAAATCTAGAAATACCTCAGAGTACCTATTAAAATAAGGGTTTTTTTCTGCTGTTGTCTGATGGTTGCTTTTTCATGTTAGTAGCATATACTACTTTTTTGTGTGCTGAATTTCACTGAGCTTAAAAATCAGCTCCTTGAAATACCCACATATAGGTTTTGGAAGTTTTCAGCAAAGTCTGAAGGCATGGATTTATGAATATGTTTGAAAGAATTGAATGGTGTGATGTGCCTTTTTAATCAGATAATCATTGCCTAAGTGATTTTTTTTTAGGATGCATTAAAATTCCTTGTGTACTTGATGGACTGGAACAACAGCTTATTGTGTAAATAGGATTGTGTTGCTATGATGCATAGTAAATTCTTTATGAAAGATAGTTGCATGGATATGTACAATAGCCATTCCTAATAGCTGTTTAAAATGGAGTATTTCAGTACTGATCATGCGGTTGTCTTACTGCAAGCAGGCTCAAGGCACTAAGTCAGTTACAAGGCTTGAGCCTCGGTCTATCCTTTCTCCCTTTTTTGCTATAGAAATACTGTAAGATGAAAGGGTGCTAATCACTTGCCCCTTTAGTGTTTTTTTTATATTCTTGATTTGCAGAATTAAAAAATAAATGTTGTCAGTGTCTTCATAGTTTTAAGAGTGGAACTGTAGGTATTCAGAGAAACATTTTTCTTTTTTTAATGTGCAGATTATTTTGAGGATTAAGGAAAATATGTTGCTTGCCTTTTTTTTTTTTTTTCCTTAAGTCTTATGTGGCAGGTTTCAACTTGGAGT